TTCCCTGAAGGAAGAGAACGCTGATTCATGCCAAGGCAATGCCAACCCAGGTTCAGCTGAGGGAACAGATGAAGGCAGGGTTGAGGCAGCAATCTCAGAAACCTCTGCTGGCACCACGGAAGCAGCAACCCCTGGCCGGGCTACAGCAGTGGACGGTGACAGACACTGACCCAGGAGATGGAGAGGACATCGAACCATCAGGAAGCTCCCTCTGCTGAGCGTGAGGTATAACAGAGAGGGTTGGGGTTTTTCTTGACTCAATTCCTAAAGTACGTGGAAGAATATGGCTGAGAAATACCCAGCGACCATGGCCCAATAAGGATTGTACAGATGGCCCTAGATCAGGGGTCGGCAACCTTAAACACTCAAAGAGCCACTTGGTCCCGTTTCCCACAGAAAAGAAAACATTGGGAGCCACAAAACCCTTTTGACATCTAAAATGAAGATAACACTGCATATATTGTTTTTTACCTTTATTCTATGTATAAAAAACCTATCGTGTGTTGTATTTATGAAATCAATGAACTGCTAAAAAGAAAACAATTTTTTATTTCTGCATGCAACAAAAGCATTTTGAACTCCAAAAAAAAAAAAGACGCTGGGTCGAAGATTACTTTAAAATAAAATACTCAATATCTATTTGAGTCTTCCTCGTATTTATGAAATAAAAAGCCGGTGCAAACTATGAAAACTACAAATAGAAAAATAGAAAAGAAAAAAATTGCGGGGGAAAAAAAAGAGAAAAGGACAGGAGAAAGAGGGGAAAAAAACCTTTCTCCTTCACCCCAACAGGTAAAAACAATTTTAGTAGCTTATCTACCATCTTTAAATACAGCATAATTATCCCCATACCTCACCTCTTAATTAAAAAATTAAATATTCTTTACTAAAAGTCCAGTAAGGACAACCACATATATCCATATTTTCTCTCTCTCCCTCCCTCTCTCTCCCCCCTCTCTTGATCTCCCTCTCTCTCTCTCTCTCCCTTCTTTTCTCTTCTCTCTCTCTCCCTCCCCCTCTCTCTTTCTGCCCTTGGTCTGCCAGTCCTCTTCCCCACTCAGTGTGTTTGTGTGTGTTCTGTGTGTGTGTGTGTGTGTGAGTGAGAGAAAGAGAGACAGAGAGAGAGAGACAGAGACAGAGAGAGGCACTTGCGCTTCCCTTCTCTCTCTCTCTTTCCCCCTCCCTCTCTCTCTCCCTCCCTCCCTCCCTCTCCCTCTCTCTCTTTCTGCCCTCTTTCTGCCCTTGGTCTGCCAGTCCTCAGTATGTTTGTGTGTGTGTGTGTGTGTGAGAGAGAGAGAGACAGAGAGACAGAGAGACAGAGAGACAGAGAGAGAGAGATAGCTCTCTCTCTCTCTCTCTCTCTCTCTCTCTTCCCACCAGTGCTTCTCTCTTGCTGCGTCTCCATGGAGGAAAGCGAGCTGAATAAGAATGTCCACAGCATGTCAGCTTATCAGAGAACAAGCTGGCCGGCTGGCCAAGTGAAGAGAGAGAGAGCGAACGAAAGGCAGATGGGGAGGGCTCCCCTCCCTCTCCAAGGCAAGCTGCCCTCCTCTCCATCCTGCACCCTCCCCCAAAGAGATTGGCTGGCAGAGTTTGTAAATCGCCACTCTTCTTCTTCTTCCTCCTCCTCCTCCTCCTCCTCCTCCTCCTCCTCCTCCTCCTCCTCCTCCTCCTCGTCCCCCCCATTCTGCCTTGAGCACAGAGTTTGTGCCAGAAGAAGAAGCAAAAGGCGCTTCCCCCCCCACCCACTGTTTCTCTTCCTCTCTTCCTTCTCCCATCACTTCTTCAGCATGCGTTTGCTGGGAGCCCACCCAGATTTAAGCATCTTGAATTCTGACTCTTCCTCCCACCCACCCCCATGCATACCTTCTTCCTTCCCCAACCACCTCCCCCCACTCCGACACCGGCACTGCCCACCCTCTTTTTCCCATCCTTACTGTGAGCGTGCGGGGGCATGCCTAGCTTGCGATGAGACTGGCATGGAAGGTGATGCCGCCGCTGCCACAAAGAAGGTAGCAGCCCCGGCACCTGGGCGCAGCAGCCAGAAGGGTGGCTGAGTGCCCCCGTGCCCCTATTAAGCTCTCCCCTCCCTCACTCCTTCCCTGAGCCCAGGAATGTCCCCCCTTCCCCATTATTCTGAGCACCGTTGCGAAGCTTCGGTGCAATTGCAAGGGGAGCAAGCGAGGGGGCTACAAGAGTGTCAAGGCACAAACCCTGTGTGGTGCCAGGCTTGGGGGTTTTTTTGAACATGGCATAAAATCAGGAAGGGGGGGCTGGCTGTCTGGCTGGAAAAACTCCCCCCTTTTGCCAGTTTCCCCCCTTCTGCCTTCCCAGGAGGAAAACAGTCTCTCCCCCTCCCCAAATTCTCTTTCCAAACCAGCTGCTGGCGAGAGCCAAGGTGATGCGATGCCCACCTGACTTGTCTCCTGCTGGTGCCCTGCCTGCTGACCCCAACGCCACTACTTCGGTCTTTTTGAGTAGCCCCTGGCCCAACCAGGCAGCAAGTTTGTGATTGTGCTCAGAGAGAGAGAGAGAGAGAGAGAGAGAGAGAGAGAGACAGACAGACAGACAGACAGACAGACAGACAGACAGACAGACAGACAGACAGACAGAGACAGAGACAGAGAGACAGAGACAGAGAGAGGCACTTGCGCTTCCCATTCTTCTCTGACAAGCTGATTGGGCTGGCTTTAAATTGGCTCTCCTCTCCTGCCCTTGCTGCATCTCCCTCTTCCTTTCCGGCAGCCGGGACTCGGGAATGCCTTCCCGGCAAGTGGGGCCAATGGTAGCACTGGCTGTGGATCGCAGGGGCTGTGCTCCCTCAGGGCTGTGGCCTGAGGGAGGGCTGGCCCACTCAGCAGAGGCTCCGGCGGGCTGCTCCCAGGGGGGATCCCGGGGCTGCCCCGCGCGGCTCCCCAGCCATGTGCGCCTCAGACAGGGCCAGCCCGGGAAAGGGACTTCCTGGCTGTGCTTCTCCTAGGGGGTGAGGCACCCAGGCGCAGGGCCAATTAGGAGCCCCATGAGGGGGCAAGTCCATATGAAGAGAGAGAGAGAGAGAGAGAGAGAAAGAGAGAGAGAGAAGGGAAGTGCAAGTGCCTCTCTCTGTCTCTGTTTCTCTCTCTGCAAATGGCGGAGGAGGACTGGGAGCCGCAGGAGAAAGCTGAAAGAGCCGCATGTTGCTCCAGAGCCGCAGGTTGCTGACCTGTGGTCTAGTTTAATGAAGAGAAGAACGAGGGGGTGACATGGTAGTAGTGTTCCAGTATCTCAGGGGCTGCCACAAAGAAGAGGGAGTGAAGCTATTTTCCAAGGCGCCTAAAGGCAGGACAAGAAGCAATGGATGGAAACTAATCAAGGAGAGAAGCAACCTAGAACTAAGGAGAAACTTCCTGGCAGTTAGAACAATTAACCAGTGGAACAACCTGTCTCCAGAAGCGGTGAATGCTCCAACACTGGAAGTTTTTAAGAAGAGACTGGACAGCCATTTGTCTGAAATGGTATAGGGTTTCCTGCCTGAACAGGGGGTTGGACCAGATGACCACCAAGGTCCCTTCCAATTTTTTTTATTATTATTATTATTATTATTATTATTATTATTATTATTATTATTATTATTATTATTATTATTATTATTATTATTATTATTATTATTATTATTATTATTCACTGCAGTTTGTTAAAACACAAAATGCAATCACCATTGAGTGCGGCTATGGCCCTTGCCCCTCCTCCAATCATGGTAGAAGGTGAACAGCATTTTGAAATCAAGGAGATTCTAGATTCTAGGAAATATCATGGTTCCACATAATACCTGGTAGTGTGGAAACACCTGCCTCCTTCCCAGAATGAATGGGTTCAGAAATGTCACGTTAGAGCCCCTAAATTACTTTGTAAGTTTCATGCCTCATATCCAGATAAACCAGAGTAATCCTTATTTCTGTTTTCTCTTTGTTTTATGTTTTTACAGGTGAATCTTTTTTTAAGGGGGGCAGCATGTCAGAACCCATTTCCTTGTTGGGGGGGTTGGTTCTGTCCCTTTCCAGCTTCTTTCTGTGGGTTCTGTCATTCTCCTGAGGGGGAAGGGGGGAGGCCCTTATGCAATGCATTATTTCTCCTTTGCTTAGCTACAATGTAGCTCTCTGCCTTTTCTATCTGCTTGCTCTTTGAACTATTTCCCCTTGATGTCAACCTGGGGTGAGAAAGGAATGTGCCTCCAGCCATCTGGCTTATCTTTCACTGGAGAAGAGAAAGGTGTGAAGACCCAACAATGTCTTCACAGGCATGGGAACGGACTCCGTTATCAGCTCCGTTCCCACAGCGGACTTAACATCTAGAGATTGGCTTGTTTGAACTGACCGGATGAACTATTGGGGTGGGATTTGCATGAAGCTCCTTTAACCTATTGATCTGAGTGGGAAACCATCAGATCCAGCCTTCTATGCCTGCTGTCAGCTTCTCCTAATAAAGGTTCCTTTTGGAATGAAAATGTTCCAAGAGTCCTGCTTTCTTGGGATGAGGTTTTGAAGTGGGTCCTTACAGGGGGTCAAATTATTCTTCAAAGCACCAGAAGGCAGGACAAAAAACAATGGTTGAAAACTGATTAAAGAGAGAAGCAACCTGGAATTAAGGAGATGTTTTCTAACAGTAAGGACAATTAACCAGTGGAACAGCTTGCCTCCAGAAATTGTGGATGCTCCATCACTGGAGATTTTTAAGAGGAGACTAGACAGTCACTTGTCTGAAATGGTATAGGTTCTCCTGCTCAAGCAGGTCACTGGACTAGAAGACCTCCAAGGTCCCTTCCAGCTCTATTCTATTCTATTCTATTCTATTCTATTCTANGGTCTTTTCCCGCCTTGCACATGCGCGCAAGGCCGGCGCCACTCAGTCTGGTCCCGGGCAGCTTTTGCAAATGCCCGGGACTCTTGCAACGTCCCGAGCCTGCTTTTGCAGGCTCAGGACACAACACCCCTCCCCCCAGATGAAATAATACTGCGCCCAACATGGACACCATCATAGTAAGGTTTGTATAAATAACTGTTGTATTAATGTCACACTGTGTGTGTAAAGTGTGGGGCTGTTCCGTCGTACAGAGACCCGATGGCCCCAACATTGTTTCCATAGGGTCAACCAGTCTGGACCTCTAATCCAAGTTATTAATATGTACATGCTCACCTTACATAATCTGCAAGGTATTTGGGAGGGCCTTTGACCCTTAGCAACCTTCTCGGACCTGGGGAGCTTGTAGTGTTTTCCCCGTTGCTTCCCACACTAGGTGAATTAACCTGTGGTTGTCTCGTGACTTCTGTTTGACTTTCCTGCCCGTCTCCTAGGCTCAAGAAGTCAGGACTCTGCCGATCGCTATACCTGGTTGACCTACCCCCTATGGAGTTTTCCAACCCCTCTGAACTCATCTCCACGTTTCCTGACGGAGTGTGGTTTTCCTGGCTCCTTTCTGTAGTCATAGGGTCTAGGGATGCCTCCCTGTTAGCCCTAAAACGTTGGGACATCCTTCTATGAGCCCTTTCTGTGAAGGACATTTTACCCCTTTGTTTTGCCTGCTCTCTTGTATGTTGTGAGTTGTGAGTATGCTCCCAGTCCTTCTCCGTGTCTGGAGTATTGTTTGTGAGGTGTGGATAGTTAGTATACCTCCGGTGGGACTCCCAGGCTGGAGTGTGTGTGGGGGTGTCAGTGTGCCCCCTTCCCCATGAATTGCTACCTGAATCTCCTATGGAACTTGGGTGTTGAGCACCCGTGTCGTTCCCCACAACCATCGTTGGCTGTTGATTCTGATTCCCAGAATGCATTTCCCATTCCTCCTCCCCCCTAGAGGAGACTGAGGAGGAACCCTAGGCGAGTCCCGCCTCACACGTAGTTGATCAATGTGGCGGCGAAGAACGCGGCCGTCTTCCAGGGACACCTCATAGGACAGAGGCCCCGAGACCTTGCAGACCAAAGCCGGGACCCAAAGGTGTCCAGGCCCGTAGTTCCTGGCCCAGACAGGATCACCTTCATGCAGGACCCGTGGTGGGTGTGGCTGAGACACCTGTGAAGCTACACGCTCCGGATGCAGCCTGTCCAATTTAGTCACGAGCCGACGACCCCAACGGAGTTCAGCTGGGCACTTACCCGTGGCAGTGCACGGTGTGGTACGATGGGCTAGAAGAAAATCAGCCAACCTGTGATGCCAATTGCCGTAAGTCAGTTTCTTGAGGGCGTCCTTGGCAACGCAGACCATCCATTCAGCCAGACCGTTGGTGGAAGGATGGAAAGGAGCCGAAGCAGCGTAGCGGATCATGTTGGCTTGTAGAAACCCCTGAAACTCAGTAGAAGTAAATTGAGGACCATTGTCCGATACTAGAATATCTGGCAACCCATGTGCAGCAAAAATGTTTCTCAACACCTGAATGGTCTTGGCAGCAGTGGTGGATGACACAGGCACAACCTCCAGCCATTTGGAATGGCTATCAACAACAACCAGGAAGAATTGACCCTGAAAGGGCCCAGCGTAATCTATATGTATTCTAGACCATGGAGTGTGTGTTTCCTCCCACCTATGCACAGGGGCCTGGGGCATTTCAGGCCTGGACTGCTGACATGCATGACACCCATGTACCTGGGCCTCGATGGCCCGATCAATGCCAGGCCACCACAAATGGCTGCGCGCAAGCACCTTCATCCTTACAATTCCAGGGTGGCCCTCATGTAAAGAAAGCAAGATTCTAGCCCTCAATGAGGCCAGGATCACAACTCTCGATCCCCAGAGGAGGCAGCCATTGAAAGTGGACAACTCGTGCCTCTTGATCCAAAAATGTTGAAATTCCTCCTCAGGGCACCTGTCAGGCCAACTTTACAGCACCCAGGTCAGCACGCGTTTGAGCGTGTGATCAGTGGCAGTTTCAGCAGCCACATTCCTAGCATTAAGGGGACACTCAGGCAACTCCTGAATGGACAATATGTGTACAGCAGGAGTGGGGTCAGGCTCCACAGTAGGCAATGGCAGCCTACTTAAGCCATCAGCATGGCCCATTTCTCTGCCAGGCTTGTGAACCAGTGAATAGTCATAAGCTGACAGAAAGATGGACCAACGCAGCATACGAGGGGACAGGATGTGAGGTGTTTGCTTAGATGTAGTGAATAACCCCAGCAAAGGCTTGTGGTTCGTAAAGACCATAAAATGGCGGCCATAGAGAAAATCATGGAACTTTTTAATTCCAGCCACAACAGCCAAAGCCTCCCTATCAATTTGAGCATAGTTGCACTCAGCAGCAGACAATGTCCTAGAATAATAAGCCACAGGGACCTGAGTCCCGTCAGCTGTCAGATGGCTAAGAATAGCGCCCACACCGTAGGGGGAAGCATCACAAGCCAGACACACTGGCAACTGCTCATTAAAATGAGCTAACACCACATTGGATGTAAGCAAGGCCTTAACCTCATTGAAACTGGCCTCATGGACTTTGGTCCAACGCCAACAGGCATTTTTGTCGAGAAGTCTGTGTAAGGGTTCAGCAATAGCAGCTTTATGAGGTAGAAAAGCATGATAGAAGTTCAGTAACCCCAAAAAGGCTTGCAGTTCGGCCTTAGACTTGGGGCTTGGAGCCTGCTGAATAGCTTTGAGCTTAGCATCAGACGGGTGTATACCCTGAGCATCTATCTTGAATCCCAGGAAATCAGTGGAATGCACCCCAATCTTACATTTGTCCTGTTTTAATTTAAGGCCTGCTCTTCGGAAACGAAGCAAAACAGCCCTTAACCTCTCTGCCAGCATTTGTGGAGAGTCTCCAGCGATGAGAACGTCATCAAAATAAGGACAGACACCAGGAATAC